GCGGAGCGCGGCGGTCAGGTGGCCCCCAGCCCGCCGCCCGTGCCTCCTGCTTCCCGGTCTCCCAGGCTCTGGCTTGGTGTCTCCGGCAGCTTGCCTTTCCGATTGTTCTCCTACGGCCGGAGACATAGCCTCTAGCCGAGCTCTAGTACCTCAGCAGACGTGAGGAGGTAGCGGGTCAGAATAAACCTGCGCACGCCAGAATACAAGGCTAGGCGCCAGGGACAGACTCGGGTCCCTTGCTTCCCGGGCCCGCATTTATTGAGCATCTAGTGTATAGAGGCGGGGCTCGTGGAGAGGAACGCAGCAGGCTGAGAAGAGGCACGGCCTGCTCCTCAGGAGTTTTTGCCTTCCTGGGCCAACGTGAGCCTTACTGTGAGATTCCCACCCTCGCTGTGGATGCTAGAGATGGTTACCATCCTAGGATGGCTTGATGCCAAAGGCCCAGCGACAGTCGTTCATGAAAGCCTCTAGCAAATGTTTGTTTCCTTAAATTTTTCTCTCTAGCATGGTCGGTCTTGCTTGGTTCTTGAATTCTTGTATTCCCAGAAAGAACATAAACTGATAAAGTGAATTCTTCATAGGTTTTTGATGAGAAGAGAGGTGTCTTCCTCTTTTGTCTTAAAGTAACAAACTACAAGAAGAAATATACCCATGGCCGTGTCGTCTCAAAGACTCAAAAACCAGGATCAGTTACTGAGTACAGAGCTAACCCAACACTGGGGAAATCAGTAGACAGTTGCCAAAGATGGGTCATGTTCTGGGTGGTCTCGGAGAGTCTGAAGGCATTCATTCTTACTGCACAAGATTGTTTTACAATCAGTTCCACCAGGCAGCCCCAGGGGCCTTCCTAGAGAGAAGAGCCAACAGGCAAGGCTGCCCAAGGAAAAGACAGGCAAGTGGCCAGTGGAAAACATGCCCCCCATCCCCCCTATACTCCCCATCCCCCATGCTGGGCATTTCCAGACTCTGAAAGTAAACTTGTTTGCTTCATTTCAACAATGGGGAAAAAAACTCCTGTTTTGAAAATGTCACCCAGAATAAAAATACATTTGCAATGGGGGAAGAAAAGGCAATTAAGGCCCACCCAGAAAAAATATTTTTCTTCTGCATTTTTAAAGTTTGGTGTTTCCCACTGTGGGTTTGCCTCATTCTACAAATGATTGTCAAAAGTTATACTCAATACAATTGGAATATTTAAATTTGAGTCATATCCTATCTATCCGAGGAAACTGACAAAATATTCTATAGAGAGTTGTTTTATACAGCAAATAAGTAATCCCCCATCTCCTTTCCTGTTTATGCTGGGTGGGGTTAGTATTAAAGGATGAATCTGATTTGACTTAAAATCAAGTCTCACTAAAATCGTCTTTGCAGATCCCAAACAAACCTTGCTTCCTCAGAGGTTGCTGGAGTAGTTGTGAAGATCTACCATGAACCAGATGCAGGGCAAGTTTCAGTCTTACTACAGTTCTGCCATTTCTACAAGACTGTATTTGAAGGATGGAAGGTAAAGATATAACTGTCTCATTGTGTGCTTGGGGTGGGGGTGGAGCATGGCTTTGCTCTATTAAATGTTTTTAGTGTTCTTTCATACCAGATGACTTACAAGTGAAAACCGTGTGCTCTTGGGGGCATTCTGGTTGTGTGTGAAGCCCTATCCCTGACTCTAGGTGCATGTCTCGCTACATGCTTTCGGTCCTTATGTGGCAGAGGCACAAGCCTGTGTTTGGAGTTCTTCTCCACTCCCTCAGTACTTATTAAGAACCTACCGACTGTGTATGAAGGCTATGTTCCAACACTGTAGATGTATTTCAGATTGGCCTACCCTGTTTTCTTTTTTTTTTTTCTGGGTCACTTTGCGTCTTTATGGCTGAGTTTCATAAAAGACTAATAATAATCCACTTCATCTGTATAGTGCTTTACAGCTTACGGAGCACTTTCACGAAAATGATCCCATGTGATCCTCCCACATAAACCTCAGTTAGGACTAGTGTGGGAAGCGTCATGGATGAGCGGCAAGAGCCTAGGCCAGGAAGACAGATTGATAAGAGAAACATTCCGAGATGTCCTACATTTAATTACAAAGGACCATGGGATGAAAGAAAAGGGAGATGGTAGGGGAGATTAACCGGTAGCAAGCAATGGGCCCCAGAGCACAAAAGACTGTTTTTATGTTCTTGAATGTACTTGAAAAGCTTCACAGAAGCCTGCCCTGACTGCCTAGGTGTCAATGTATCCTTCTTGCAGCCCCAGCCAATCAAGAGGCCTTGGCTTCTTCCCTAATTGTTCTCCCATCGCAAAACCTTTGCTACTGCTTCTGGTAATTCCACCCTTGTTACCAGTACCCAATGTAGATTCAATGTAAATAATATGTATGTAGCAATGTTTGCACTGGAAAGTACTCTGACTTTTTAGAGCTGGGGAATTAACCATCTAACCTGGACAGTGGTGGTTGTAAAATTTGTCCCGGCACCTAGTCATTAATTTTTCTGCTAGCGTCAGTAATGGATCAATAAGCCCTTTCATTTCAGAGAGTTCTTACAAGGTCTTAGGCGTTTTGGTTTAATAAGATACAGCCTGGTACCCATTTTACAGATGAACAAGCTGAACCCCCACTCGGTGGCTTGAGTAAATTGTTCATGGTCAGTTAACTCATTAACGAGTCCACGGATCTTTGCAGTTTTCTGAACTGTTGAAAGCAGCGTGCTGTATCCACATGTAAATCATGCTCAGATCAGAAAGCCAAAATCTCAAACCCAGGCATGTGTTGATTCCCCCAAAGGAAGAAAGGATGAGAATATCTCAGTTTTCTGTGAAGTATAAGTAATAAAAATTCCAACTATATTAAATTGGTCCACAATTAATTCCTGTGGGAATGAGGAAATTATAGTTCTAATATTAAAAGCTAGGATTCCTAGACCACAGACAGAATCTCTTTGGTTTTATTTCATATGATTCTCAGAATTATATTTTTCTGATGATTTTTTAAATCAGAAAAGAGTTCTCACCCCTTAGTCAAATGTTTATCATACTGCACTACACAGACATTATACATCATATTTTTAACTTTAAAGGTACTTTGAATATCTTGCATACTTCATGGAAGGAATGTCTGCAAAGTCTTCTACTTCTAGAGAATAGGGATTCATGACGTGAAGAAGATCCCAGCTCTCATTCAGCATGGGCTTTAGGTAGGTGATCTCAATTTTCCTCTTTCTTTTTCTATGTCTCTAAAAGATAATCCCTTAGCTAATTTTTTTCTAATATTCTTTGGAATGTAAACGCCTTGAAGAAAAAGGTTTCTTTTGTATCTCAAAAGGTCAAAAATGGCCCTTGTCCTCTGGTTGTCATTGTATTTGTTAACTAAAGTCACTTATGGAGGAACAAGAGCTTAATCAAGATATATATATATATATATATATATATATATATATATATCCCCTTCCTATATCTGCCATTTGGGCTTTTTTCCTAAGACAAATTTTCCACTTGATTATTCTAGAAAATATTTAAGATTCAGTGAGTTCAAGAAGATAATGTCATCAAGTAAAGTTCTGTGACAAAATGATACTGATTTTGAACCAACAAATGGGAAACTTATTGGCCAACAGGCGTTTATGAGAAGAGAATATACCCAATGTTTTTGGCATCCCAACCAGAAAAAAGTACTTGGCTAACTTTTGTGTCTCACTTTGTTATTTTGGAGGGTTCATGAAAAATTAATTGTCCTATGTAAAATTGTTAAGTGTAAAAGATGAGTTGAAAAAAAAGAGATGAGATGACTCAGGAAGAAAGAAGATTTTTGTATATGTGTAAGAGAAAGGACTTGCCTGAAGAAGCATATAAATGTTTGCATGTCACTGAATTGAACTCTTAAGTTATAAAAATCCATTATATGGTCACAGTTGTTAACATTATTTGTTGAATATAACTTGATGGCTCAGGTACTGTAGGTCCATATTTCTATATGGTGTGGCAGCCAGGCTCTGAAGCCATAGGCCCCACCTGAGGTGGTCACATAGCCCTGCAGACAAGTTGTCACTGCCCTAACAAAGGGTCAGGATGTTGTTGCTCCTTTCTTTGTAATTTAGAGGATGCCTTACAGAGGTGCTGATTCAAGCCTACAGACAGCAGACAGGTAGATGTGGAGGTGACAAAACGCCATTCAGTCATTCACCTGGTTACCTAGGAGACAGAATGCTGGTGTATTTCCCACTCAGTTTATGTTTTGGTATAAAAGTTGTTTGGAGAATAGACAAGGAATTCTTCAGGATGTGAACTCAGAACTTCATGAGGGACCACTGAGAATCTCCCTCCCGATAAAGCCATGTGAGTTGTGTCTTTATTCCCGCTCCTCCAGCTGGTCCAGAGAGGGTTTATGTTGGGGTCTGGTCGAGAGAAATAATTAAGGGTTTGGGCTAGTACCGGTCCCTGACAAGAGAATGTACTTTGTAATTTTAAATTTTTAATTATTTGTCAATTAGGATAGCAAATGAATCCCACAGGGATGCCTTTGGAGATTTGGAAGGAGCAAGGACTAGGGCTTTCTTGCAAGATTGACCAAGAGCTGAACTTGGCATTGAAGTTTGTCCTA